TGTAATATAACACTGGTCAAAGTTTCATCCTGTAATATAACACTGGTCAAAGTTTCATCCTGTAATATAACACTGGTCAAAGTTTCATCCTGTAATATAACACTGGTCAAAGTTTCATCCTGTACTATAACACTGGTCAAAGTTCATCCTGTACTATAACACTGGTCAAAGTTTCATCCTATATTATAACACTAGTCAAAGTTTCATCCTATACTTATAACACTGGTCAAAGTTTCATCCTATATTATAACACTGGTCAAAGTTTCATCCTATATTATAACACTGGTCAAAGTTTCATCCTATATTATAACACTGGTCAAAGTTTCATCCTATACTATAACACTGGTCAAAGTTTCATCCTATACTATAAAACTGGTCAAGGTTTCATCCTGTACTATAACACTGGTCAAAGTTTCATCCTTTACTATAACACTGGTCAAGTTTCATCCTGTACTATAACACTGGTCAAAGTTTCATCCTTTACTATAACACTGATCCAAGTTTCATCCTGTACTATAACACTGGTCAAAGTTTCATCCTGTACTATAACACTGGTCAAATTTGTAAGGTATAGGAAGAGTTAGCATTCAAAAACATCGTTTAAAGAAAATAATTACTTTATGCTTAGTTACAATTTTACATACTACAAAGTATGTACGATATAGAGACCATTTGAAGGAAGGTGGAAAGTTAGTTTAAGAAATGAGTCAGTTTTAAACACAGATGAACAGTTCAGCATGCCCCCAGCGACAAAGTACAAGCCATATTACAAGCCTCACAGCTTTTGTCCCACAATCCCTCAGTAACATATGTCTTTATCATTTAAAAGCTAACAGACTACTTATGTTTGAATAAGTTTTCTTTAATTGAGAAAAATATTGTTTTATCATCAAATTGTAATGGAACAATTTCAGTCACCAATTTTATTAAATAATACAAATTCCAATCCCTTACATTTCAAACTTAGTGCCACTTATAATCAGACCAATAGTTCGAGGCTGTAACACATTTCTCATGTTGTTTTTTTTTAATCATCTGTTAACTTTATCAAACAGTACTATTTTAGATCAGAATCAAAATAATATTTATCTATGACGTATATATACAATAACAGATTAAATATGTTCACACTTTCTACTGCTATTATTTAACATAAATCACCAATCAATGTATTACAATGCAAAACACAAGTTTCAAGTATTCATACAAGTGCAAAATAAAAATTCAAATATTCCAATGTTGGAACTAAAACTAATACATCTCTTCTCGCTCAGTTTTAACATGTTAGGCTTGAGAATCAAGAAAATACTTTTAAATCCTAGATTACTCAAAGATTCTTGACACAAGATAAAATACCTGGTTGTTGTTAAATACTATTCAAATGTTAAAGTATCAGGTTTTCACAACCTTCTTACAAAAATTAAATCAAAGAAAATTCACTTTTATAGTTGAGTATGTTATATCAAAACAACTTTGAATACAAACATAGCAGCCAAGTTGCCATATACAGCACCCATGGATTTATGTGTGATTGGACTGTTGAAACAGGCACTGGGAAACCATCATTATTGGACATTAGATGTATTATGAAAACATGTAGGGAAAAGTGGTGTGCTTTGGACATGAAAGCCTCACAACAAAACTTTATGCAAACGAAACTACACTTTGGGGGGTACTGTCAAGATGCATGGTCATCAGGCAGAAGATGACCAGACATGTCAACATAGACTGCAATGAGGTGTTTGTTTCTCCAAAATCTTTTTAATATAACTTACTCTGTATACTAGACTAACTTACAAAGTTAATTTAAATAGCATATTATACTCAAACAGTGTCACCTAACTGAACATGTAGCACAGCATTTTAATGAAAAGATTTCTTCTTTTTTTATACAAGTTCCACATTCAAATTACACATTAAACTATCTGAATCAGACCATCCTAGCCTATCAATATACTGACAAAGTAACCAACTTTCAGGAAAAATGTTGCCTGGAAACCCTCACTATATACCATATAAAAACAAACCTGATGAGATACAAAACTACAGACTTACATGTGGAATTCCATTTAAAAATGGTGGTCTAAGATAGGCTGAACTAGAGGTGTTAAGAGAATTTCCTGGAGATCCCCACTGGAATGACTGTGTGGGGGATTGTCCTATCCCCCTTCCGGGAAGTGTTGTATTACTTCTTCCAGCTACACTGTTTAGTAAGGAAGGGTGGGAGGTTGGTGCAGAGGGACCACTGAAATAGTTTTTGGTCTGCAAATTAACTAGTAGCTGCTGGAGGTTAGGGGGGTTGTTAGGAACATTCATTCCCCTACCAGTGACTGATCTAGCTCCTCCTGCAAGTCCAAGCTGCTGCTGTTGGTTTAACTGTTGAGCTAACAACGCTGCGTTACACTGATCAATTCTGGCAACATTACTATTCTTGAGAATTTCATTTGAAGCACTAGTAAACGTATTTACAGCTGGGGGTCGAGGTTCACCAGCTGCTCTGTTCTGCATCAGACTAGACAGATCACGATTCTGAAGGAGGTTCAACTGCTGCTGTTGAGGAGCACCCGTTGAAGCAGCCAATCCGTTTCTTGCTGACAACAGCTGTTGATTTAAGGAATGTTGCAGTTTTTGCTGGATTAGATTTTGTGCCATTTGGTTATTTACAGCTGCTAAAGAGTTCTGAAAACTAGTTGACGTGTTGCCCACCATTACCTGTGGCTGTCTAAATCGTTGAATACTAGCTGTTTGGTTCAGCTGTGTATTCAGGAGAGCATGGTGGTTTGGTGTGGTATTAGTTAAAGCTGGAGGCTGGGGTCGAATTACATTTGACTGTGCTGAAACCTGAGAAAGAAACACACAACACAAAGACACAAGTTAACCATACATTGAAATTTCCATTTTAGAAGAAAAAAAAGGTAACATCACAAAGATGTTAATTTAGAACATGATTTATTCAATAACATTTCAAGTCTAAGCCCTAGTAGCTGTTTAAATATCATGTTTAAATGTTGAATAAGTCACTTTCTAGTGTTTGCATTTTTTTTTCTAACTTGTAACTATTTTGTTATAAACTAAAATTTCCACATCAGTTTGAGTTAAACATTTTAATACATCACGGCTTCCACTGTTACTAAAATTCATATGACTAAATCCGTAAGTGATTTAATGTTTTTAATTACAAACACACATTTCAAGTTTATTTGCAAATGTAAAAACCTAGAAACTTTGAAATAAATCAACCATTATTAAGTTTATTTGCAAATGTAAAAACCTAGAAACTTTGAAATAAATCAACCATTATCAAGTGGCTGGTTCCAGCTTACAACAACATATATGCAGAGTTCAATAACTCACTAGGTTCTGAGCCATAGGATGCATGTTTCTGACAGTGTGTGTAGGTAGACCACTGCTGGAAACCTGAGATTGGAGATTCTGTCAAATAGAAATAAAGAAACTTCCATTACAGAACTTATGCTCAGCCAGAATACACAGAATTACAGTTTCTACCAATATCACAAACACTGACTTTAGTTGCACATAACCATTTCGGGATACAAGTGTTGTTTATCACATTATTATGTTTGTTAACTCTTTCACTACGGGCTCGGTATAAAATACCTCAATTTGTATACACAGTTGCATGCGTAAAGTATTTATACTATAACTTTTAATGCAGTACGTGTATCTTCAGAAAATTTGGTAGACTTTTAGCAAACATTACAAGTCTTTTGAACACAAAAAATCAGATTTTTTACTAAAGATTTGTTTGTGAATATATAAAGACTGTTTTGTTACTAGTCCGAGTGTAAAGTGATTTTCATGTTATGATTAAAAAATTATTCTTTGTCCAGAAAATCTCAAATATCATTTGTGTAATCTCTAAAACCTCTTAAATACATTCCAAACGTTTGTTTTCAGTAAGACTTTATATCTTATCTCTATATTTTCTCTACCATAATTCTATATAGGATCGGTCAATTTGACCAACCTTGTAACCACCATAAAAAATTAGGAAATAAGTATACATTATGCTTTTTTCATTCTAGAATGAACACAAATTATAACACGAAAACACAAATGTTTAG